AAATAATATTTATTATTGCTTTAAAAATGAAACTTCTTTTGAAGAAAAAACTGTTTCCTTAATTGAAACTAAAATATTTCTTCTTTTAGTGGCTCTCAAAGTAATGAGCTTCAATCATTTTTCATATTTAGAATGGACTCAAATTTTTCTTTCTATCATGCTCTATCAATGTAACTATGAGCATAAACCAAAAGTTTAAACACTTTTTGGCATAGTAGTAAAGAAGAAGAATTTTAACATATATAGGATAGATTTGAGGTAGGGAAAGCAAAGGAAATCAGCAAGTAACTTACTTGGCAAGTTTGAGCAAATGAATAGAGAAGCAAGTGCTATAATGGCAAAGAGGGATCATAAAAGAGAAAGTAATAGTGAGAATAACCAAAGACAGGAAGATGTGGAAAATCATAATTGCCCATATCTTTCATTACTCTCTACTCAAAGGGAGAATAATAAAGAAAGTTTTAAGTAGGGAATACTAATCAGAAAGTATACCTAACTGATATTTACTAAGCTTAATTTATTGCTGCACAAGGTTAAATGGTAAAGAAATGGAAACAGAAAGATTGTATTAATATTTCAAACTAGAAAGGTCGCTCTGCTTTGAAAATTATTATTCAAAATATTGGCTTTCATCTGGGTTCAAATATTAACCACTGGTATTGTGGAGAAATATACAACTATCTCAGACATGTGGCAGGCCACCAGAAAATAAATTTAACTGATAAGTTAATTCTATTGTTAAATCTGTAAAATATATCAACATTTACTAATTATCGTGACAGTATTGATAAATTTATTTCACATCTCAAATAAGTCATCTGGACTTAGGCTATACTTTGAACATATGCATTAATATACCAGAATTTTTCTGCATTTAATAAAAATATTATTGAATTATCCAAGACAAACTTTCCTCATGTTTCAAGTGAATATTTTATCAAGCCAGCTAAATGGGAAAATAATCTTCCTTCCACATGTTATACAGATTATTGTTGATTTATAAGATTCAAATGGTAATTATAATTTAGTACTATCTTACAGGATTTCAGAAAAATATTATCAGTAACCACCATAGATGATTAGCAATCTTGCAAGCTAATATTTGAGAGTTAGTTTATTGTATAATAAACTGTTTTATATGATCCAACAAACCATAAGCTTTTGGCTGACATGAAAAAATAAATACTGATAGCTCATATCACTCCAACAGAACCAACCTAATTATTATATACCTTGCTCGAGGCTAAGCTAAACTTAATTATTTAGTTTAGGGTATCTGAAGACCATTGAAAGTCAAATAGTTTGAATTGTAACAGTAAAAACGATTATGGTGTGGCTAAACCATACTTATTGATATACACACTATATTCAGATGCTTCATATGAAAACATCATTTTTTAAAAAGATTTATAAATAGCTGAAATCAATTAAAATCATGAAAAACTAATATTTTTCTTGATATTTACTATGTTTATTTTAACACACGACAAAGCCAAACAGAAGAGGTAGAAAAATTATGTAAAGTAAGCCTGCTTGTCTGCTTTAAAAATCAGTATTAAAAAAAATTCTGGATACCAACTTCTGGAAGACTTAAGAAAAATACACATGAACCTTAGGTATATCCCAAGTATCATTTTTAATGTTTATTTTTAAAATCCAAGCAAAATTTAGAATATTCAAAAATGTTTCTATATTTTGAAACTTACCATAAATAATGAAAATACCAATATATTAACAATTAAATAAATTTATAATTTATATATTATTTTTAAAAAAGTATTATTAACGAAAAAAAAAAATTAAGACTGTTCATTTTATTTTTCCTTATAAATTATCGTACAAAATATACCATGTCCCTTATTTTAACTATCAAATGGATCAGAGATAATTTTCACTTTTTGGTTAGAAGTAATTTGAACTTTATAAGTCAATCAAGAATCTTAATTGCCTAGAAAAGCAGTGATGAGCAATAGGAGTAATAACAGTACAAAATGCCAAGAAAACAGGAAGTCTGTAAAACAATCAAACTCTTTAAAATTCTGATGTTAGGATACACTCAAGAAAAATTTTAGACAATGATTGGGCCACAAGTGTCTCATAGAATATACCAAACATTGTTATCAGTTACTAAAAAAAAAAAGAGAGAAAAGATTTTTTTCCTTTTCCTTATTTTTTTTATACTGAATAACTGCATAGCTTGACATCCAATGTCTATGCAACTGTCTTTATCCACCCATGTTTTAGCAACTTCAGTTGAGGATAGATAAGGAAGGTAAAAGAAAACAAATAAAAGATTGTCTTGATGTGTTTTAGAGATTCAAGAAACAATCCACTAATCTTATGCCTTATTTCATTATGCATGAACAACACAAAGTTTTAGAAGAAAAATTTTTATATGGTCAGCAAAATAAAAAGGCCAAAAACAAACTGCATAAATTATATTAACAAAAAAAATTAATTTACAACATGTCTTTTTAAGGATTTTTTAATCTCTACCTTCCTCAGTTCTAAATGAAGACGATATACATCCTTCTCTGTCATGAAAAAAAGCTAAGGTCATTTATTGATTGATATTCAACAAAGATACAAAGATTGGAAAGTAGTAAAAAAAATTCAGTGTAAATGGATTTAGTGAGAGAGCTAATTAAATATTAAGAGCAAATAAAACAAAAATGTATGTTATATCAATCAAGATTTAATGCTAACTTAAGAAGTAATTATAATTTGCAATTAATGCAAGTTACAAAACAAAAAAGTGAATCATTAATTCTAAATACAATTTTTTATGTTCTAGTGTTTACAAAGACAGAAAAAGAAATGAAAAATATAAAAGTACAAAAAGTTTCTTGTGTGCAAAGTATTTTTCTGCAAAAATCGATGGTAACAACTTTTTTAATCAATTATAATTTTCTAAAAGAAAAAGTTTTATGTACTAGAATAAGTCATGCCAACAAATTTATTTATAAAAACTATGGATATCATGCATGGCGCCAAACCTGTTCAGAAATATCTAGACTATCAGCTGTATAAAACCACTTTCTAAGATCAATGGTTAAAAATGGCTTTGAGAAAGTGAAGCCTATAGGTCTTGGTAAAGACCACACTTCTTCAAACCTTGTCAACTGGTGTTACAGTATCACAAACAAAAAAAATGTACCTAATAACAGAAAACACATCACTTAAGGGCCTTCAACAGCAGCAACAGCTAAAATGGAAATAGCAATGACAGCTACTGGACTTGAGAAACCTATTTTCCGGAAAAATTATTTTAAGAGAAAGATTTTATAAATTTCAACCAAAAGTAGTACAGTCATGAATGCTGAATGTTTCCTTATAAGGAAATGGCTAATATTACCATTACCAAATATCATGTGCAAGTTCTAATACTATTTATTATTAAAAAAAAACAAGAGAATGCAATGTTTTATCAGCCAAGAAAGTATGAGTAAATAAATGTGTTAATGAAATGACAGATTTTTTGCTTAAGTATCTTTCCATATATTGTTCAAATTTTAATCTTGTTAAAATTTTCTCTCCAAAATAAAAATTCTTTCATTATTTTAAGTTTTTTCAATAAATTTTTAAACTAAAAAACATTTTTTTTTGTCAGGCAAAAACTAACATTCTATGCCAAGTAACATTTTGAATTTCACCAAATGAGATAAAAAAGAAAAAAAAACTTCTTTATTGGTAATATCATGTGATTGCATTCAATCAAAATCCATTAATCTTGATCTTGGACAGGTCTTTCGCATTATTTTGACAGTAATGTCTAGGTATATATAAAATCCATAATATCCAATATAAATGCCCACAATTTCATAAAAATATGAGAATTCTCTTAAGAACAAATGTGGCTATCAGAATGTTCTCGCTTCCTGCAGATAATGATCATGAAACGTCTTCCAAATAAAAATTCAGAAAATTGCTATTCAATGAAAGAATAATGTGGAGTGTTTCACAAATTCCCAGAAGTAACAAGCAACATTGCAATCTTTTAGAATACATGATTTTGGTCATGTCTGAGAATATTAAATTTATCTTCTATATGATGTTCTTTTATATTATTTTCTTTATATAAAATGATATTGGATATCACACAAGTTTTCATAACGGCTCATAGAGGAAATTTATTTTTACTTAAACAAGTAGCTTTAAAAAATAAACTTCTCATTTCTTTAAATATTTACCTTGATTATATATATATATATATATATATATATATATATATATATATATATATATATATATAACATATATGTGTGTGTGTGCATGCACATGTATGTATACTTGCAAGATATGAATATTAGCAGAAAAGCTCTCTTTAATGATTAGATTTAGACAATCTTCTTTCAGTTAATCTTCTATAATAACTAGAGCAAAAGAATTGTATTTTCATAATTAATGAATTTTTTCTGTAACTTGCATTAATTGCAAATTAGAATTAGTGTTTCATTCATTAACTTATTATCCAGGTTTACCCACCAAAATCATTAAATACAATAGGCAGTTCTGCAAATCCATATGGGAAATCTAAAATCAAGAAACAGTTCTGAGATCCCATATGGGAAATCTAGAGCATGTAGTAATATAAAAAAAAATAATAAAAGCTCTGCACTACTAATGTTTATTTGCATACTCTAATTTTTTTTTTAATCTTCCAGGTCAGATTTCTGAGAAATATGCTAATCATTGATGTCACTGTCACAACATAACATCTTATTGAACAGTTTCAGCTTTGTGCAAAAACTATATTTCTATAACTGTATTCAGATTATCTGTAGATCTCCATGTACATTTCTTCTTAATCATGTTTTCTTTGAAATGTGCTTTTTCTGATCATTCTTCAACAATGGATTTCAGCTATTTTTGTTTTAATATAGTCCTTATGCTTTAAACTTGCACAATTGTTATTATGGTTTCTCTCTTTAGAATTTTCCTTCATTTAAGTCAATGAAAATTCTCATATTTTTCTCCACTGTCTTCTGAACCTGTTAGCTTATGGCCAGATCACTTTGAAACACTGGTTCTTGTACAATCACTGAATTTAAGCATTGTTGAGCCTGGTTAGTAACAAGATGGGTGACCACTTGGGAATACTAGTTGGTGTAATTGATAACTGCTCAGAATTGGAAATAGGAGAGCTGAGTTCCAGTTCCACTTGGATTCATTATAGTCACTTATGGACAGATATCCTTGGGAAAAGTATGAAACAATCTCTTCTCCTGCTAGCTATGGGTTAATTAGTAGGAATTGTATTAGTAATTAACTATTATCTCCAAAAAATTCTTACAATCTAAAAACATTTTCTGGCTTTCAATAATCTAAAGGTTGATAAACAATAAAAAACAAATCAATCAATTAATCTGAATCGGCAATGATTCAAGTTTCCCTCAATATTTAAATTCTATATATATTCTATATAAATGTCTTATATCATTTATAGTTTTAGCATAAGTTACATAGTTGCTAATTTATCATCACCATAAGCTACACCATTATTATTATTATTATTATTACCAATAATGATGCAATTATTATTAATAATAATAACAACTGTATCACTATAGGACCACTATGAGAACACAAAAAAGATTTCAAGCAACAAACCATGTTGCTCTTGTCCTGTTATTCAACTTGGATGTTGGGGGGATAACCTGAGGTTGAAAAATTAGCCACTGTATCCAATTCTTCTTCAAACAAAACCTTAACTCTGGCCTTCCAGGTCAACAATTGCCAGAGGTCAAAAGAAATAATAAAAAATGTAAATGGACAAGGGAAGAATATAAAGAAGTGATGTATTGTTTCTACTTTACACTAAATAAACCTGAGAAAAACCATACTTATGATACCTACTAAATGTAGTGTGAAATCGGGACTTAGAGAAAATATTTAAACCCAAACAAGTTAGCAAATATCAGATGATATATCATGAAACAAAAGTATCTTATCTTACAGATCCTGAATTAATAGTTGAGTGCAACATCAAACAAAACAGGGAAAAGAGTAATTTTCAGGAAATAGACAAACAGCTGGAAACTGGAAGCTGAAGGTGAGAACACCAATGTGTCTGATGTAAGCTCTGACAACCTGATAAGTATTGACAAATCAAATGAAGTTGAGAATGAGGTAGATGAAAATATAACTGAAAGGGATCATGAAACAACTGATTTTAAAGAAGAATATTTAAATGATATTAGAACTATGAAAGGAGAAATAATTGAAGAGCTAGTGAAAGTAGCCCATATTGATGTGCCCACAAGAGAGTCTTTTTAGAAAATCAGAAATAAGCATAAATTTAAACATAGAAGTTATGTTAGAAATTTTGCTTTAAGAGAAATATGCAATGCAACAAAACCTAATTTGACATATGTAACTGCAAAAGTTCTTCAGTCAAAGAAGAAACACGGGTCACCAATAATAAACCAAGATAAAAGTTAAACACTGAGAAAAATATAAAAAAAATAAAAGCAGAAATATTTATTTTCGAGGAAATTCATAAGAATAATGAACTAAGATCTAAGTTAAGATAAAATATCAATTGCAGAATAAAGAATAAATACCCCAATTGAAAGAAGAACTGAAATAAAAATCTAAGCTAAAGCGCAATGTCTCCCTAGGCTTGAGAAACAAAAAATTCTATTGACAAAACATGATATTTGAAACAGATGCAAAGAAATACTACAGAGAAATAGAAAGCCAAACAGTTGCAATAGAGGAAACACCATTGGAAAGAGAAACAAGCATATTCTGGAATAACATATGGAGAGATGACAAATGTCACAATGAGGATGCTAAATGGTTAAAAGATCTGGAAAAAAATACAGGAAACATCCAAAAAAAGTAATGGCAATATATAAAAACAAAAGAAATAAAACATCTGTTAACCAAGTCTCACAAGTGGAAATCACCAGGAATTGACAAAATTCCAAACTTCTGGCTTGACACTTTCTTTGCTATTCATGCCATTATGTCAACACTATTTAATGAATTGATTCTGTAGCCCACAACACCAGAATAGTTCTCCTATACTTGATGCCAGAATATAATGACACAGAAAACCCTAAAAACTATTGACCTATCATGTGTTTGTCAAAATCTTACAAGTTGTTAAACTCCATATTAACTGAAAGAACACAATTTATTTCCTATTGAGCAAAAAAGTTGTTGCAGGGATTCCTATAGCTGCAAAGATCAGTTCTTTCTTGAAAATACGCATTCAAAGCACAAAAATTTCAGTATAGCATGGATAGACTACAAAATGCCTTTGACAACATGCCACACTCATAGATCAGAGCCTTGAAGCATACAAAATCTTATTAACACTTGTGAATGTTTTACAACATAATGTCATTCTGGAAGATAGATCAGTTACTCTTGCTCCAAAGTAAAGACATGAAAATGTAGAATTATTCAAGGAGACTCTTTATCTGCTCCTTTTTTGGCTGGTATTAATTTCTTTATCAAAATTGTTAAACAATACAGGATACTGGATATAAGATCAAAGATAAAAGGATAAATCATCTATTTTATATGGTTGACTTGAAATTATATGCAAGAAATGATGATGAATTAAAAGGGCTTTTAAAGACTGTAAAAAGTTTCAGTAATGATATATGCATGGAATTTGGGCTAGATAAATGTACAAAGGCCATATTCAACTGATGAAAGCTTACTAGTACCAAGAATATAATTCTTGACATAGATAGTATGATTAAGGAACTCAACCAGGTAGGTACTTCCAAGGAAATGAATACAACTGGATACAGTAATTGAAGATGAAAGAAAAAAATCAGAAAAGAGTGCATCATCTAAGTGTGAGTAATAATGAAAACTGAAGCAAAGGCAAAAAATTAACACTCTCATTATCAATTACTAGCAGCATGGCCTGGTGTTGCCCATGCTTGATTCAAAAATTGTATGACTCATACAGCAATTGCTATCACTTGACTTAAAATATTTTTGCCCTTCCTTGCCTTTAAAAGAGTGCCCTTTACCATGCTGATGTTGCTACATGCCTTACTTCTTGCCTATCTCACACTGCGAATTTTTTCTAACTGGAAAAACTGAATGAAAAAAGAATGTTAACAACAAATACTTTTTCACACCCAACCCAGTTCTGCGGAATCAGAATCAACGTTGAGTTTAAGCAAGCGAATGAGCCAATTGGTGTAAAGTGGCATGCAGATTTAAATTTTTCCCACTTGTGACGAATGCAGCTATCGACATTTTTTTGCATGCTAGTTAACAGTCATGTCAGTCAGCTGTTGGCTCTCACACTGGCCAATAGAATCTTCCTGCCTATTTGTGGCAGCCAGCTATAGGCTCTCACTCTGGCCAGTACAAAATGGCCGCAAACTATATGAAAATTGCCGTAGAAGCATGAAAAAATCAATTATTTCCACTATCAATGGGAGTTGGGAAATGCAAAGTCAGTCTTGGCCTTCCCACTAACTTGGAGCATGTGCATGTAAATTTTGGTGCAAATCCATCAAAAATTGCGGCCGTGCATTTGTTACACACACATCCTGCCTTTTATAGATAGAGATTATCACTCTCAATTGTAACTTATAGCATAACAACATAATAAATTGGAACTTAAAGGAATCCAAGAAAACTGATGCCAAAATTTGCAAACATGCAAGAGAATAACACCACTCTAAAGCAATTGTTGATCATCTGTATCTAGCAAAGAGCAATTTGGGTAGTGGCATGATTCAACTGAAATTGTCTTACAAAATTTCAACAATAGAACTTTAAAAGTATTTTTCAGATATACAAGATTAGATGTTACAACTCGTAATGAAACATGAAAAATATGAAGCTTTATGCTACATGAAAAGAGGCCCATAAATAAGCAAGAGAATTTGACATAAATGTACCAAGTGAAAAAAAATATCTCAGCGAAAGTTTTTGAAAATCTAAGCAAATACAAAATCCTGGGGATGGAAATAGAAAAAACTATGGCACTGAAAAACTGAAGCTGTTCTTGTTGTGGTTGGAGCTTTTGGTCTGATAAAGAAAGGAAATCAAAAATAAATCAATAAAATCCCTGGTGCACCATCTCTTAAGAAATCCAAAAGAATAGTTCAAACAAGCACACTACATATCCTGCAAAGAGCTTTGTCTATTTAAGTTTTGTTAATAGGTGTATTCTGTTTAATTAAGTAGAAACAACAAAGATTCACAAAATTTGATTGCCCTAAATCATTGGTTATGACCTGGCATGTGATTATAACATAAATACTGATCAAAACACAATTTTTTAAAATAATAACAATAATAATAAAATTAAAAAAAACATTTGATAATTTTAAGTGATAAATTTTGATGACAGGAATCCCATTAAAATTAACTTTGTACAGCTTGAAGGGAAATGTTAATAATGAAAATATGTAGAAAATGGCAAGGCTTATAAATAAATACAGAGAAAAATGTTAAGCTGTCTATTACCTGAGATTAAATTCTTGGCACTGGTTACATATATTTTATCAGCTGTGCAAAACATAAGTTAACCAAAAAATATGTTTAATTTATTTCAGAAACTATAAAATATTGGGCACAAAATTTATTGCTAAATATTTCAAAGTAATTAAGAATATTAGATTCTTCTTGATATATCTGTATGTACTGAAGAGCAAAAAAATTATATAAATAATATCTGACCAAATCAAGAAAATTTGCAAAAAACATTTCAAACACTGGAAATATATTTTGTTTTAAATAATGCTTTATAATGAATGAAGTGAACAGATATTTCACATACAGTTATTTTTAAAATTTGGTTCTGTTTTCACAGATCATACTGGTAAGATTTAGATCAGATATGGGAAACCTTTTTCGAACAGTAGGCCACATGCAGTACAGTACATCATAAGACTGGCCACACTACTAAAAAAAGGTAATTTTTCATTAAAGATTCTGCAGCTATTTTACCAACCAAAGACCATGCACATAAGCATCTGTCTTAGAAATTGGGCAGTAGTCAATATTTTTTTCTTTGCAGAAAATATTCCTTCTATGTGACTAAATCAAAAATTATCCAGACTTTTGCCATAAGATATCTTTAGGCTTGTAACACTGCTCATGCCATGCTTATAGTTGGTACTAT